ACAGCAAATTTACAACGTTTCAGCAAGGTTTTGTCATCATCAGATGCTATTATGTTAAACTTATATTAAAGTTTTTCTTCATTACCAGTTCAAGCCATCTCCAAGCATTATTAACTTTTATGAAGTTTAAATTTGCAGGCCTTTGATATAAATCATATGTATAAGTAAAAATAGGTTTTGAACATATATATTTGAATTTGGTATACTTTTTTTATCATAGTTTCATCACATGTAATATTTTTTAATGCATGAAAACTATATAATAAAACGATAAAAAAGAAGTAATGATAAATTTTTTTCTTCTTTAAACAGACTTTTCAATTTTAGAATCTTCAAACTAGAAAACTCACATTCTAAGAAGGGTTTTGATAGGCTTCAAGTAAAATTCATTTCCACTCCATAAAAATAAGAAACAGCCAATTACATAGCCCATGGCAAATAGACTGACCCTGCTGGTTCCTGCTAGAAACAGCACTGCAAGCGTTATCCAGTAAAAGGAAAAGAAAACCCATACCTTGACCATGTCCAAATAAGATCTGCAAAATTAACATACTACTGAATCTACATCTTCCCAAGATAATTATTAAATTTTTCAAATAACTAAACTTATAACATACAAATTTGTGTTATACACCAATAGCTTTACAAGTAAAGTTTCTTCAGATATCTTTAAACTAACAGGTCATTACCTAGTGTAATAAAAAAGGTTCAGAATTATATATCAAGTGAAGAAAAATGTAACAGAAAATATTTTATTATGTTTCTCTGAATTAAGCTAAGGACAAGTAGGCATTTCAGGTAAATTTTTATTGATCACATGATATCTTTTACTCTAAAGGAGAACTTGACAGGACCTAAAATAGAAATAATGATCATGTGTTAAGATATAAAAAAAAAACAAATAGCTAATTTTGTCTGTATTTTCAACCTGAACAGCACTTTATGCAGCACATAGGCTAAACATGCAAGTCTCAGATGCTAGGGGGTTAGATACTATTGCCCAGAGGGAAGGCAGCAAGTCATTAACACCCATCATCACAAGGTCTTTGAACTAAATTATGGGGTTGACCACCTGTCTTATATCACACTCACAGCTGAAAGTATGAAGTGTGTTCAGCAATTGTGACAGTTGTGACTGCTAGATTATACCCACTCCAGCTAAGTAATGCATGAAGTATCACTTTCGATTGCAAATGTTAAAAGAAATATATGGTATTTAAAAGAGTATATGGTTTTGTCAGACAAAAGAGGCCAAAATAGTTTAATGTTTTTCATAGCTTACATTTTTTATGCATAAAACTCAAGAAATAATTTAAAAAAAACTTACTGCAATTTGATTATTTAAGTAATAACATTGAAAACACTTCAAAAATGCAACCTTCAGCTTGTCTGAGTGTGGACTTCTCTGTGCTATTTCTATGTGTGCTACATGTGTGTGAATGAACAAAATCCTGATAATTTAAGATATAAAACCTTTTTTAAGATATAAAAACAAATAATGAACACTAATAATCCCAAAACAAATTTCTGTGAACACTTAGCATACTAACTTTGTATATGTGACAAAGTCTGGTACGGGGTTGATGAGGGTTTTGAGATCCTTTAGAAACCAAATTTCAGAATTGCTCCCTCCAGTTTCCTCAGCATGTAAACTCATTTCAACAGTAAACACACGTAACTGACAGCAAGCAAACAGAAATTGAAAAAAGTCCACTACAAAATAAATATAAAATAACACAATTTCATTTTTACTGGAACAATTCTTTTACAAAGAATAAGAATTTCAAAAAACATGAGAAATATAATGTAATTTAGACTAAACATTGAAAAAAGTTAATATATGAATTAACAGACAAGAGTAATGTTTAAATTCAAAGAAAGATTACATAGAAAAACTCTTTAAAACAAGTTAAATGATATAATGATAAAACATTATAATAATTCAAAAATAACATGTTTGAATATATTTTATTTTGTAACACAATGGTCCTACCAGAGGTAATTGCTCATGTTTTTTAAAGAATATTTTAACTTTAGGTGTGTCTTACAAAAATGGTTTCAATAAAAGATCACTAGTTAAATAAATTATATAAACAATAAAAACTACAACAAATACATATTACTAAATCTCAACCACTGCATACATAGTGAATATCTAATTAACAAACTAAGTAAGAAATTTTCAATGATAAAGACTTTATTGAATCAACAAGTCTTAGTACAATTTCTCATCTATGGTTGTTATCATACCACTGGCTTCAACTCTTAGCCTGATGCTATATGTGATGATTTTAGTGAGTGACAAATCAGTGGGTTGAAATTATACCATTGGCTCTGACTCTTAGTTTGTTCCCCTTTATCATAATTTTTACTTTGTGACAAATTGGTGGGTTAATATTATACCATTGGTTCTGACTCTTAGTTTGTTCTCATATGTGGTAATGATTACTCTGTGACAAATTGGTGGGTTAATATTATACCATTGGTTCTGACTCTTAGTTTGTTCTCATATGTGGTAATGTTTACTCTGTGACAAATTGGTGGGTTAATATTATACCATTGGTTCTGACTCTTAGTTTGTTCTTATATTTGGTAATGTTTACTCTGTGACAAATTGGTGGGTTAATATTATACCATTGGTTCTGACTCTTAGTTTGTTCTCATGTGTGGTAATTTTTACTCTGTGACAAATTGGTGGGTTAATATTATACCATTGGTTCCGACTCTTAGTTTGTTCTTATATTTGGTAATTTTTACTTTGTGACAAATTGGTGGGTTAATATTATACCATTGGTACTGACTCTTAGTTTGTTCTCATGTGTGGTAATTTTTACTCTGTGACAAATTGGTGGGTTAATATTATACCATTGGTTTCGACTCTTAGTTTGTTCTCATGTGTGGTAATTTTAACTCTGTGACAAATTGGTGGGTTAATATTATACCATTGGTTTCGACTCTTAGTTTGTTCTCATATGTGGTAATTTTTACTCTGTGACAAATTGGTGGGTTAATATTATACCATTGGTTCCGACTCTTAGTTTTGAGAAAATTTGATTTTAAATATTTTTTATGAAGGGATATTTTATCAACTTTCATTAATTGGTAATATTTTTGATTTTGACTTTTCCTTTTCAGAATGAAATTAAGGTTTTACTACTTGAAATTTTTTTAATAATATAAAGCACTAACCAAGAATCTTATACGGATCAGGTGGTGCTATAAAATCAGGGAGATATAGCCATTCTCGCAGTTCTTGATTGAAGCCAAAACTGGTACTCCAAGGATATTCTGTTCAAAGAAGTATTATAAATCCTAAGACTAAACAGGAAATAAAAACTTGTAGCAGAAACACAGCTTGCATTGTTAACCTTTGATAGGCTCACAGTATTAGGAGACAATAGCCTTGCAAGTAATCTAGCTTTTATAGTTTCTTTGTAGGTCTTCAAGTCTTCTAACTGGTATAATTAATCTTTGAAGAGATTACCATATTAAGAAATGAAGAACTTGTAAGTAGCCTACCCTGTATAGTTAATCTTTTAAAGGATTACTGTATTGAGAGATGAAGGTCTTACAGAATCATGATAAAATACATTTCTTCCTAACATCTTATTATAAGCTGTAAGTTGCATCTAACAAGTTTAGTACAAGTAAAGTTAAAACCAAAAGTGTATTGATGCATTTTAAACTGTTTAACTACTTTACACTAAGAGTGTTGCATGATGCATGAATTCTAAGGTGCAAAACATAAACACAAGGAATAACATTATATATTACAGAAAACAAAAATTTAACTTTGTCGATAGTGATTCAGCTGGAATATGTATAATTTGGGAAAGGATTCAAAATCAAAAACTTGTATTTTTAGGGAAAATTTAATATAAATCTTATTAAACTATAATGTTGGATATGTCTACAGATAGAGAGGGAAAAAAATATTTTCTAAATTTAAATCTTTGGACTGTTATTACTTTTATGTAACTTTTTGCGTAAAATAGTTTTGAAGATTCTTAAGCTTACTACTTACCAGTGCATAATCCTGGGGGTATTCCCACACATTTAATGTACTGTATTGGCAAAATAATACATTGGTATGATACATAAAAGGGCCAGACTCGGCTCATTATTCTTCTCCTCAGCAAAAAAAGGCCACAGAGCCACACTGCTGATACCACAGCATACACATCAAGCCGTACAGCAATACAAGCAACGGTACCACTAAACAAAACTGAAAACAAAAAGAAGGCATGTTTTAGTGATAAAAAATTCTGCAAAAAAATTACAGCTGAAATTTAACACAAAAACTGTTTTTGTGCAAAATTCATTTTGGTAGCTATAAAGAAAATTCACAAGAAACATACTGATGGAATTTTTCTAACTGAATTTTACAAATGCTGAAATAACATTACTTTTTTTTTAGGTTTTAGTATTTCAATGCCTTTTAAACACTTGCTGTATATATAGTCTGCCCTTGTATAATGGGCATTCAGGTTATGGAATTTCACCTATACAGAAATTATAAAGCATGACCAATAAATTTGAGGTACGGACTGTAAATTCGCCCTTATGGAATTTTGGGGTGAATATAAAATATTTTTAAACACAAAATGGAAAAAAAAAAAAACAATTTGGCCAAAAATCTTATTTTTTTTAGAAATGCAGAGCACACATTCCCAAGCATCAGTGACTTAGGTGGTGCGCTGTTTTGGTGAGTTTTGTTCATATCAGTAAATGCTTCTGTTACAATCGTCATACAGTCACACAGTTGTTCTTTGCATCATTTTTCATGACTCTGCAGTGTAGGATTACAATTACTGTGTGAATTAACTTTATGAGACTGAACTAATGGTAGAAGGATTACAACTACTGTGTCAATGAACTTTATGTGACTTAACTAATTGTAGAAAGATTACAATTACTGTGTTAATAAACTTTATAAGACTTAACTAATGATAGAGGGATTACAATTACTCTGTTAACGAACTTTATGAGCCTTAACTAGCAATAGAAGCATTACAAATACTGTGTTAATGAACTTTATGAGACTTAACTAATGATAGAAAGGTTACAAGTACTGTGTTAATGAACCTTATGAGACTTAACTAATGATAGAAGAATTACAACAACTGTGTGAATTAATTTTATGAAACTTAACTAATGATAGTGGGATTATAACAACTTTATGAAACTTACCTAATTGTAGAAAGATTAGAATTACTGTGTTAATGAGCTTTATTAGACTTAACTAATGAAAGAAGGATTACAATTACTGTGTTAATGAACTTTATGAGACTTAACTAACGATAGAAGGATTACAACTACTGTGTTAATGAACTTTATGAGACTTAACTAACGATAGAAGGATTACAACTACTGTGTTAATGAACTTTATGAGACTTAACTAACGATAGAAGGAGTACAATTACTATGTTAATGAACTTTATGAGCCTTAACTAGGGATAGAAGCATTACAAATACTGTGTTAATGAACTTTATGAGACTTAACTAATAATAGAAGAATTACAACAACTGTGTGAATTAATTTTATGAAACTTAACTATTGATAGAGGGATTACAACAACTTTATGAAACTTACCTAACTGTAGAAAGATTACAATCACTGTGTTAATGAGCTTTATTAGACTTAACTAATGAAAGAAGGATTACAACTACTGTGTTATTGAACGTTACAAGACTTAACTAATGATAGAAGGATTAGATCTACTGTGTTAATGAACTTTATGAGACATAACTAACAGTAGAAGGATTACAACAACTGTGTTAATGAACTTTATGTGACTTAACTAATGATAGAGAGATTACAACTACCGTGTTAATGAGCTTTATGTGACTTAAGTAATGATAGAAAGGTTACATTTGCTTGGTTAATAAATTTCATACGGTACAAACAGTAGTGCAATAATTACAATACCATAGTTTATAAACTTTGTTGGACTCAGCCAGTTCTTGAAAGGTTGCTACCTAGATTAACAATCATCATAAGATTCAACTACAGAAATTATAATGAACAACAAATGTATTTAACACTACACTGTAAAAACCAGATATTACCTCAATTCCAAACTTATAGAAACCATAGTTGAAAAGAAACTTTAAGCATTCCAATAAGCCTTCATCTGCTTTAGCACGTGTAACTCCTGGAAACATCACTTTTTCTTGTGGTTCATCTTCATTTCTGTGGTAGCGATGTAATTTCTGTCGAATCTTTACCACAGCTTGGAGGCTCAAAATGAAAATCACTCCTATGTAACCCTATAAGAAAAAAAAAACAATTATAAACACTGTTACACGATGTTTTTATTGGACAGTACTCTATTCTTTACATGCATAAGTATAGCAGTTTTAGATTTATCGGTTTCTACACTTTCAAGAAGGTTCTAGTCACTAAGCCATGACTTTCATGTGATGTGAAACTTGCTTTTTGTTAAGTTATTAAATTTTAAAAAATCTGCATAATCTACCCGTTCAAAGCATTTACAAAAATGGCTAAAACTGAAACGTTCAGATTGAGAATTTTATTGTAATGTACACAGGGGATTGAGTACATTATAATAAAACGATTTTGAAACTTCACCATTTTCTTATAGTTGATGATACTGGTACTGAGTATTTACTTCAAGGCTAGAAATACAATGTACTTTTAAGGAAGCCAGTAGTGAAGATGTGCAAATTGAATAATAATCACTTCATCAAAATTAGTGTTTCCAATTATTATTGTTTCATTTTTCTCACTATCCAAGTAATGGAAATATTGCTATTATGTTTATTTGATGTTAGCACAAAACTACATAATAAGCTATCTGTGCTCTGCCAAGTTGTAGCCTTATAAGATATTGTTTTTTTTTAAACTGCTGACTAGAGGGAAGGTAACTGGCTGGTAGTAACTGGAGGCCATAAATTAATTGATTAGTAAATACTATTGATTGCCTAACTCTTCCAAAACTATCCTTTCTGCGAAAAAAAAAAAATCACATGTTATTAAATTGTTTCTTTTAATAAAGTAAATCAATAGAAATCGTCCCTTATAAAAAAACAAAGAATGGATTGGCATATGTAAAATACAGAATTAGTCTGCTGTAAACTCAGTTTTTCCAATAGTAATACCAATGAGATAATGTGAAGCATGAATAACTAAGTTACAGTTAGAAATGAAATAATACTTACCTTGCAATAAAAAAGTAAATTACTTGTTTTCCTGAGACCAATCCACACTCTGTTGTCAATAGTTTCACTGAATGGAGAAGGAAATTCACTAGAATTTTGACCATAATCATCCACAACCTGAAATCATTAATTATTTAGATAGCTTACATCACTTTGATATTGACCATTTCAGCATATACATAAATAATGAATGATACATCATGGAAATTAAATCATAAACTTTTACTTCAAATGGAGGTCCCTAAAAAAGAAGTCCTCACACTGTATTTGTGTTAACACTCATTAAAATTTGGAAACTGTACAAAATTATCAAACGTTTAAGCTTCAGTTAAAAAAATATGGTTAATTGTAAGGTTATTTAGAAAAGTCATATATAATCAGTAAATGACTTAGCAAAATTTTTTTCTCAGGCATTTATTTAAAAAAACTTAGTTCCACACACACAGAAAAAAGCTGACCAACTCCAGAATTGGGATGATAGTTGGGATATTTACAATATGCATAAAAGATATTTGAAGTACATAATAAATTAGCACTTGTAACATTGTTGAGACAATTAGCAAGATACATTCAGTAAGAACTTTCATTAACAGTATATCTTAAACAAAATAATCAGCAAACATAATGCCCCATCTAGTCTCTCAGTCCCCAAAAGAAATAGAATCTCTTGCATACTGAGAGAAAGTGAATGTACTGCCTTCATGACTGCCCACTCCATATCCCTGAGTGAAGAAAGCTGGGCCCAACTGAGATTGAAAAGAACCCTTAAATTAATAATATATTCTGTAGGAGCTAAAAGGAACTTCTCCAACTTGATAAGAAATCTCACCCAAGCAGCTTCTCGAAGAAGTAATCAGGTGTGAGAGACTAAGTAGGCCTGGGAAGATGTAAGCAGAAGCCAATCGTCTATGTAATGATAAATCTGTGACCCAGCAAGTGAAGATGACGGGCAAATAAGAAAACCACTCGATAGAACACATACAGAGCTAAAGCTAGACCAAATGGCAGTTTCACAGAACTGAAAGATACAACCCTCATGAAGGAACCGAAGAAAATGACGTGACCCTAGAGCTATGGGAATATGAAAATAGGCATCTGTCACATCGAACATAGTCATCCAGAGTCCCAGGGAAAAAAATCCACTGAAGGGAGAGCTAGGACTTTGTGGTGAACTGTAGTGTTTCTAGAAAGTTATTCAGCTGGAATAGATCTATAATGGGTCTCCAATCTCCCATCTTTTTGGGGACAACAAATAGATGAGAGTAAAATCCAGGCTAAGTGGGGATGACCTGTTTGATAGCTCCTTTTGTGTAGTAGGTCCCCAACCAACTCGGAAATATGACTGTATGAGGCATGATCCTGAGAAGCAAGTAAGTAAGGAAACTGGGGAAGAGGATAGGAGGGAAGACAAAGACCCTCTGACAGAACCTGTAGAACCCATGGATCTGTCATGAAGCCATACTAAACAGTTGAGAAATGCTGCAACCTGGCCCCCACTAACTCTGGAAAATACATCCTGTCTCATATACTGCTGACCCCTGGAGGAATGGGAACAGGAAAAACGAGGGTAAGGACAGGAACACATGGAATAGGGTAAGGGAAGAGGAGAGAAAGAAGAAAAGGCACAGAGAACTCGAACAGGTGAAGCTTGGGCAGGAACAGTCAAACGAGACAAACAACATAACACAGAGAACAAGCTTCACCACATCAACCATAAACTCCAAATACTCAGGACGACCCCCAAAAACCGTTTCATGCAGAAAGAGGGCCTGACAAAGATGCCTCAATGAAGACAGGGAGAGATGCACACCCTCAAGTAATGTGTCTCTCCTAAGCAAATCCAAACAACATAATAACCAAAGTAGATCACAGGAGAGTCCTGAGTTCATCAGAAAAGTGATCAGGTGACTATTCAATGGCTTGAGACAACAACTGTAATGAGGAAATAATATGCAAATAGGTGGTCAGGGCAAGACGAATCCCAGAAAACTAAGGTTGATTAAGGTGGATCAAATCCCCCAGATTCGAGCCCCACAGGGGGAGAAGAGGATCCACATGTAAGAATGGAATCAAGGACTAAGAGTGAAACATTTAAAATTTGACATACCTGATCAATAAAATGTAGGAACGACAAAGTCAGCAAACTCTCTTGACTATCAGCATTATGTGACGGACTAAAAAAAGGCTGAGAAAATACAGTCCAAATTATCTATGCCCTGAATAAATTCTTCCTCAGAAGCTTGTTCTGGGGGAAAGGAAGAACAAAACGATTACTGAGCAAAAGTGTCCAACTTCCTGCAAATTAAGGCTTGAACTTCCTTGGTAGATATTGTCAACCTACTTTGCTGGGAATTAGTGACATTACTATTTTCAATATTGGTGGGAACTTCATCATCTGCCCCCATAAAATTTTAATTCATATTTCAAATTAAAATTCAAATGATGGAAGAATTCTAAAAACAAAACTAAAATTTGAAAGCAAACACTTTAAGTTTAAACTGGTGAAGGAATGAAATGCAAATACAATGAAAAAGCAAGCACATGGAGAGAAGTAAACACACATCTATACACTTTACTGCCAATAGAGAAAGATAGGATTGTGTTAGAATAGTACAGGGAGCTACCTGCGCTAGTATAGGTGATGCAGTATCATTGGTGGAGAGTAGTCACATGATATGCACATTCTGAAATGGTGCAAAAATAAATGGGTATAACAGACTTATGCGCTATTAGCAACAAATTTTTTAGCAATGCTTAGAGGGTGAGGGGAGGTAGTGCTGTTTCGGTCACTCAATGCAAACCACAAATTTTTATTTTACTTAAACCATATAGTTCACTTTTACTTTGGGCAGTTTCTGCCTGTTATAAAAGTTTGCAGGATCTTATGCTTTTTACAATGTTAGCCACAATCATCCATCACAGAATTCTCGCTATTTATATGCTATTGTTGGACCTTTTCATACATTATTAGCTACAATCATCCATCACAGAATTCTTGCTATTTATATGCTACTGTTGGACCTTTTCATACATTGTTAGCTACAATCATCCATCACAGAATTCTCGCTATTTGTATGCTATTGTTGGACCTTTTCATACATTGTTAGCTACAATCATCCATCACAGAATTCTCGCTATTTGTATGCTATTGTTGGACCTTTCCATACATTGTTAGCTACAATCATCCAAAAGGAATTCTTGCTATTTACATGCCACTGCTACTTAACATGACACAATTTTTAACTATACATGTAGTTCCATAAACTAAAGAGGACCATCTATAACATACAGATATAATTCTGAAAATTTTTACAATACTTATCTGCATGAAAACTTGAAACAGTTTTCTAAAAAAAAGCTTATGAAAGAAAACATTTTTCTCAGTTACTGAATAAGATACTTATTTCTAACATCATTAATGACTTACAGAACAGTTCACTTTCCAGTCATAATGGTTGAGAAACTCCAGCTGATAGATCATCTTGGTAAGTAGCAAGATGGAGGCCCAGACAGCACAACAGTGAGAAAGGAATGTCTGAAGAGCTTGGAAAGGGAGGGCCACAACCACAAATATCACAAACACGAAATGGAAAGCTGAAACCTAAAATAAGAGAAACACAAAACAATCAAGATATAGCCTCTTCAACATTTTTATAAAAGTCAATGTTCGATTTTCTTTAAAAACCTCACTATAAGTTATTCAATTGACTATCACTTTAGTAAACTACTCCAGCTCGTAAAGTAATAACACATTTGACACTTATATGTGCAATGATACTTATTCTAAGAATTTGTGAAATGGAAAAATAAAATAATCTAAGCCATTCAATCTTTAGCTATAAATACATTATAATTAATATGCTTAAAAACACAGGACAGATTTACATTGGGACATTTTTAGCTGAGTAGTTCATTTAACAAAGGCAAGTTCACCAATTGTTCAGAAATCCATTGCAATGGCTTCTTCTGATATCAAATGACTTTTTTTTTGGCTGAATTTGTAGTACCCTTACTCCAACTTCTTACCATTAACAAATTTACTGTCAATGACTCATTCACCTTTGTTAATAAAATCACCTCATTTCATCAGCAGGTAGATTACTTTATGGCCAGTTTTGACCTAACTTTTACCAACATTTCCATTAATGAAACTATCAACATTTTTCTCTCTAAACTTATCAAAAATAGCTTACAGCTAGTAACTGGTTTCAATTAACAACAGTTTAAACAACTCCTAGTACTCTCTATTATTAATACTCACTATGTATTCAATGATTGCGTTTTTGACCAGGTAGATGGCATTGCTAAGGTGACACCCCTCAGCCCAACCTTGGCTAATGCCTTTTTCTGTCACTACAAGCAACCATAGATTGAAAACTGTCTGCTTAAATTTAAACCTCTCCACTACAGAAGGTATCTTGACAATACTTTTGTTGTTTTTGATCTACAGAGCATGCACTCAAATTTCTTAAATATTTAAATTCTTGTCATTCTAAAACAAGTTTTACAAGTGAAATTGAGAAAAAACATAGTCCACCTTTCTTAGACACCCTTTTAAACAGTGACACTATTGCTTAGACTGTCTCACATAGATATCTTTATAAACTGAGAAGCTAATGGTTAATCCGTCTTTCTTAGACATCCTTATAAATGAAGTTAATGGTTTTTCTACATCTACTTACCACAAGAACACCTTCACAGGTCTCTACAACAACTTAGACAGTTTTTCTTCCTCCAAGTACAAATGTAATCTCATGATTTGTTTACTTACTAAAACTTTTAACATTTGTTTTTCTTATTTCACTCTACACAACAAATTTAAATTTTTACATGGGTATCTAAAGCCTTTTCTTTAAACCGTCACCCATGACTTTCTGAATGGCAAACTCAATCCCCTCAGCAATACCAAATGGATAACTGTACCTAAATGTCTTATATATTTATGTTTTCCTTACTTAGGTAAACAGAGCATAATTCTTAAAAATCAACTCACCAAACTTCTACATAAGTACTACATGCAAATCCAATTGAGAACTGTATTTAAACAAACTAATCAGATAAAACATTTTTTCCCTGTGAAAGACCTTCTTCCAACCCCACTTATTTTATGGATCTTTTACTCATATTCACATGATAGCTGCAATGCTACTACACTGACAAAGCCAAAAGCCATTTAACTTTATGCATCCATGAACACATGAGGATCTCCTAAAGAACCAAATGCCCTTTATCATCTCACTGCACAACCTCTCTACACACAGATCCAGACAATTGGACACAAAATATCCTCAACTGACTTTAAAATTTTAGCTACAGGGCACACTGACTTGGAACTGCTCATTAAAGAAAGTTTACTTATGAAACAAAATCTACTCAGATTGAATAATTCAACTTTTGTTGAGTTAAGCCTATTCTATTTGATTTCTCCTCAACAGTTAGTTAGATACTTTTACTAATTTACTTAGTGTGGGTCTATACTATTTACATGTTTCACTTACTTGCTTTTATACTCCCCTCTATTTACAACCATTTACCATAGTATGTATAAGCTTCTGTTTAACATTTGAGTGATTAATTGTAATTATAGTTTTTGTGTTTATTGTAGTAATGTGTTTAAGATGGAATGAATATATTCCAAAACATCCAATAAATATGTTGTTATTCATCACTTCTGTTGTTGTGTTGTTCATCATCAGACTAAGTTTTCCACCTCATGAACCTGGTGGCAGCATTTAGATATACTATTGATAGTTGAATGTTTTTTTAAGTACTAGGTAAAGTACCAAGGTTCCCCTGTTGTCCTTAACAGTTATAATTAAGAGTTCAAGTGTTTTTAATGAATCATTTTCTTGTTGAGAACTGCCTGTTACTCAAGGTATTGATGGAGAGAGTGGATATTTAACTACCAAGTTACACGTTAAAACCATCACTAGTATTATAACTATTGGCCAAAAGAACACTGACCAGTTAAATTGAGACAACACAGTAATGCTTGTATACTTTCCATTTTCTCATAGCATTGGGTAATAAAGTAGTATCTTACATAAAATATGTATGTATATTAGTTTAATGGTTCTGACAAGAACAATAATCAGTCAGTTTTGAAATGTCCGATATTTTCATTCCTGCTCTTTTTAAACAGTGATCACATGGTAACTACTACAGTAGTTGTAGATAACTACTCTTTTAAACAAAAGACAACTTACTTCATACACTGCCAAACAGAGAACTGAAAATAACACAATTTTAATGACATGAATCTCAAGGAACTGCCAAGTCAGATTACTGATGTCCTGCCATATATTCATCATTTTCACCAAGGTCACATGAAGACACCTCTTAAGAGTTTTCACATCTGAAATTTCAAAAAAAAAGTATTATGCACATCAAAAACAATCTAGCAGTACACATTCTGTAATTACTAATGAGAAAGCTTTAAAGTACTGTTAAAAACGGTATATTACAATAAAAAAATTTAATTCAAATAAGTGAAATCAGTGTTTTAAAAGTGAGTTAAGGTATTAACATCATGTTTTAAAAAGTTACTAATTTAATTATCTAATATATTTTTAATCATATAAAACAAAAACAAAACAATGAATGCTACTAGTAATAAATTGACTATTTGCCCTGTGATTGTTTTTTCTCATGTTCTTCTACTGACTTATCCTCATCAACTCCCTTCCAGTCATTGTCTCTCTTAGTTGTAGCAAATGAGGTCGCGGGTGAAGATGAACCAGCAGACACAGTGGCATATTCTTCTGTTTCTGCTTCATCAATTATTACTTGGGTAGTATCAGCATCAGGTAAAACTATAGTTTCTGTCTGACTTACTGCAGGACCATGCTTTTCTTCTCTGGAAAACCAAAGTATGCAGTATGGAAGGACCACAAGAATTACTAAAACAAGTAGAGTACGTCTCATCTGAGTTGATTATATAAAAAACCAAAGTATTAAGCATGGAAAAACCTAAAGCTTAACCTAAGAACCACTAATACATGTGCAGTGTGTTTCATTTAAGTTGATCATACATAAAAACTGAAGTATAGAGCTAGAATTAACCACAAGATTAACTGATGGTCTATTAAAACAAGTAAAGTAAACCTCATAAGTTCTGGTATTGCATAAGGGGCCTCCTGGGTAGTGATGGAGGAAAACAAAAAAAAGAGATCTGAAATGTTACTCTTTCCCACCTGTCATATGAAAACCAAACAGAGAAATTAAGAAGTAAGTAGAAACATCTGAAATTACAATTATTTTTATCAGAAGTTTTACAACTATTGATTTCCAATTCTTTGGTAGCTTTTGGTATTTAAACCATAACTGACATGGTAGGACCTGGCATGGCATGAGGGTCACAGGTTCAAATCTATGTCACACCAAACATGCTCGCTCTTTCAGGTGTGAAGATTTTATAATGTAACACTCAATAAACCCACTATTCCTTGGCAAAAGAATAGCCCAACAGTTGGTGGTCAGTGGTATTGACTAGCTGCATTCCCTCTAGCCTATCACTGGTAAATTAGAGACTGCTAGCACAGGTAGCCCTCATGTAGCTTTGTACAAAATTCCAAACAGACAAAATCAAACAAAGATACATAGTTCTGCAAAAATTAGCTTTCAGAACATGCCTTAAGCTACTACTACGAACTATTTCAGACACACAAATTAAGCTACTTTTCAGAACTACTTCTGGTACACATACACCTTAAGCTAATTCTCAGAAATGTTTTACATATACTGCATATAATTATAATTTAAGAACAACAAAAGGAACATGTTGATCCATCTAGTCCACCCCCATCTACTATAACAAACTCTAAAATAAAAGTAAAAAGGAAAAGCCAGCCTTATCCTTCAAATATTTATCAAGCCTTCACCTAAACTCCCTTAAATTAATTTCATTTATCACATCTGAAGGCAACCCATTCCAAAGGTCAGCCACTCTGTCAGAAAAGTAAATCTATCTTGGCTGAAGATAGCTTCTACCCTGCCAAAAGTTTTATTTGTGTCTCCTAGTCTTACCATTCTCACCATCATTTTCTCTACCCTAAATCTCTACAAGGTTGGTCAAATTGATCATCCCCATAAAAATATGAAATAAATCTAAATTACCCCCTTTTTCTTTCTAGAATGACTTCAAATTGTAACGTGAAACTACATTTGTTTATTCTAAATAGCTTTAAACTCATAAAGGTATACATCTGTTTATATTTAAATTTAATTGTTTTATTGTTCTTTGGACTGTATCTAACTAATATTCCTGCCACACAAATTATGTAAAGCACAGGCTATGTGCGAGTTGCTCAAGACCATACTTCATGAAAATTTTTTTTATCATTATTCTTTATTTTACCTAATCTGACCTTATGTAACCTAACAGGTTCCTAATTTTTACATTTTAGTTACTTTTATAATAACAAATAAAGAGTACACATGAAAAACAAGAACCATAGTGGTTACCTTGGTATTTTATTTGTTATTGACTGTTGATGAAATTTAACCCTACATTTTTTTATACTAATGGTACTACTGCATTAAATAATGCACCAAAAAAAAAAAAACACAGAAAAATAACACTCAAAAAATAGAAAATGTTTTATAATTTTCATTGTTTTTCTGGCTTTATAACTATGTGACAAGAGTTGTTAAAAATTCAGCTAAGCTCCTTGATGTAATTCTTGTGGGAATAAAGTTTGAAATGGAAACAAAATAGGCAATTGTATGTACAGAAAACAACATATTATAATTTGTCATTTGATAGACTGAAACTTTGGCTTTCTATTGGCTATAAATAATATAGTTTGAAACATCAGAGAGAACTATTGTCAATTTCTGAAAGAGAGGATGTTACAGGTGGGCATAGTAAGAGGGCTCTTATTTTCTTTTTTATGACTCTGTAACGAAATAAGACTGAAAGCTATAAAAATCACCCTTTGCCTGAGTGATTACAATATTATAATGAGGAATTTACATTAAAATTTATACTTCTTGGAGGGGTGGTAAGTATATTAGAGAACAGGAGATACCTAGAAAGCAAGTGTAACAATTCTCATACTAAAGGAAATTGTGGATTTTTCTTTTATACGGCCTTATAAAATTAAAAACTTAAAACTTATATAATTTTAAAATTTGGATTATTAGCTATGTATTGATGCCAGTATATTTGTATACCATGATAATAAAGCACTTTAATTAAATTTTAAATGTAACTCAGTAAAACCTCATGACATGCACAGAAAAGGATGCCCATAATGAGAGAGAGTTAAGCTGAGAAATCGTTGAGCAGCATACACCTTAAGTTACTCCCGATTCCTCTATCTGCAGTATTTACTTTAAGCTACTTTTGATAACTCCATCTACAGTATATACCTTCAGATAATTCTGAGGTTCTTTTTGATACACACCTTAAGCTTCTTTTTAACAGTTCTTTCTGTAATATACACCTTAAGTTAACACCTTCTATACATGTTACTGAGTTATATTCAAAATGTAATTAAACCACTTTATTATAAATGTATTTTAATAAAATTATCATTATTGAGTATGTTATAATTTCAAGTTTTATATTATCTAAGTTTATTTCTTCATTTTAAAAAGAAACATCTATAAAAGCAATTTAAATTACAGTTTTTGCTATCACATGATCTGCTTGCAGTTACAATTCTCAACTTTTAAGAGCTCTTATATAAGAAAAAAGTAGCTAATGTAGACTGTTAATTCAGTCAAAGTACACTAAACAAATGTATCTCATTAGTGTCTCGAAACTTTCCAAGAATGTTTCCCCACATGAAATGTTGCAAAATATTTTCTAAGTTTGAGGTCAGCCATGCCTACTTGCAAAGTCAAGGTTGTGTTATTAAGTGACAGTTTGAAGTTGAATGGCATGCTTATAACTAATAGAAAGAGCAGATTTTCCCATACTTACTTAATAGCTGAAAAAACACTACCACTGTATGAATTGGTACTATGAGATAGAAAAGAAGCTTAGTCTGTTCTCTCAAGGGATATGTAGAATTTGCAAGTGTTTCTCATCCTATATGTATTCGTTTGCTAGACAGTTAGATTGTATATAGATTTTACGTTTATATCTTAATCAATTAAGTATTATTTATGTTTTAAAATGCATATTTGAAAGGTTTAATTATTTTTATATGTTTAACTTGTTGTAGCTTGGATTGTGAAAGTGTCTAAACAAGATGGTGCCATTCTCGTGTGCAAGCTTTAGTGAAAGAGTCTGTGCAAGGGAGTCACCCTATTATAGTAATAGATCCCCATGGAGACCAGTTAACATACCGGTATAAATAATATTTAGGATATCTAGGATATTCATTTAGGAGGTTCTAGATATTATGCAAATGAAATGTGAAACTGTAAGGTTATAAATATTACTTTTATACTCAAAATGAAAATCATTTAATTTTAATTTTTTGTACTATATCTAATAAAACATTCATTATTTAATGTAGTTATTTGTACTTGTACTCTAAATAGTTCACCTGAAAGGTATTTTATTTTTCTGAAACTACATACTTTTAAGAACATTCATGTCAATTGAATCCACTAGTTTCATTCTTGTAAAAAACTGTCACGAGGATTATGTAACCTACTTACAATTTAAGTAGATTTTCGTCATAGAGTTAACCTACTTATGAGAGCATTTCTGATTCTCACCTTTTGCAGTTTCTACACTTTATCCCTTTGACTTCTACATTGATATACTGAATATGTCATGTCTTATATAAGCCATTTGTTTCAACAACATACTGTGTATGTCCAATTTATGAAGGATATAACAAAACCATACAATTCGTGAACACAAATGATATACTGCAAACTGATAAAACATCTGAACACTTAGAAGAATGGCAACCATTTTCAGTATTCATATTTTCTATTGTTTTTCTTGATTTTTTTACAATTATTCATCCTTGTCATTTCTATCTATGGTATTGGAAATAAATACAACTACAATTTACCAAAACAAATTATATTTACAGAAGATAGGAGCCATTCTGAGTCTCAAGATATCCTGTTTGCTGCATTGTTCTGTAGGATCTACAACATTGTATGTGTGCATTATGCCATAGAATCTACAACATATACTAACGTTCGTTCCCAATATCCCCACACGGATGTATTTGCCTTGGCTATGTATACAGTGCATCCAAGGGGAATCCACGATTTCTAGTGGTTAAATTTATGTTATGTAGACCACGACAAAATCACGTGACTAACACATGTAATCGGCAGGATAAATTGCTTTCACGGACATTTTGAGATAAATCTTGGGGCTTCTCTGACATTCACTTTTTACTCCTAGAGCTGTATATCACTCTTTAGCCATGATAAAAAAGGAAATAACTATCTATTCACTTACATGAACAAAAAGTTTTCCTCCCTGACATCCAAGAAAAATCAAAGCTGTAAATGTTGGAGAAATTCCAAAATCTATCCAAAATAAGTTTTGAATACTGGATGCCTGTAAATTATGTCTTGAATGTACATATATCATGATGAATAAATTGCGTAACAGACAGTAGTAGTCCTAAAAATGTAGATCAATCAATTTTTTAATGCTATTAAAATATGAATGAATATGACATCACAAAACAAAGGATTCTGCTACTAAATTATAAAATGTCTGTTTTAGTGGCCTTGAAATTATGTTGCTAGAACTGCAGCATCATAACAAAATTAACAAACACAAAAAAGTGTTCTGCAGAGAAAATGCTACCACAATGAAATTATTACTCTACTTCTAATTTTTCTTTCTGCAATATACACTTTATGTTTCGTACCAATGTAACTTACCTATAATTAAAGCCACTAATGTGTAGAAAGTCCTTGTGAAAGTAATGCACCTGGAGGATGGTAACAACCAAGAACAAAGTGGGAATCAGCAATGTGAGGAACAAAATGGCAGGATTTTCCACATACTTCACAAGGCCAATCTCCTTTTGACTGTAACCAGGGTGGGAGTAGAATCAAAATATTAAAAGATGAAATTAAATCGTATCATTATTACCGTTAGTTATATATTCTGTTTCTTATTAAAATGACTAGAAGATGATGTTATATGTGTATTTTTACTCCTGTGTTGAGTGTGTCTTATATTATGTTATATAACAGAATAATTATGTTTTATTTATATTTATATACATATATGTATGTATGTATTCCTTTATAGTTGCAAAATCAAGTAGCAGAAACTGGAGTCCATTAGAACACTATTTCTAAAGATCTACTTTACTAAGAAAGATACATACTAAGAACAACACTTGCCTTAACATACACTATCATGTATATTATACATATTCAAAACGTATATCATTATTTCTAAAGTTAGAGATTTGTCCCATTGCACTCCAGGCACAGGGTCCACTGGGACAGCTTTTGGGGTACAATAGGACACATCCTAGAAATATTTACCTTTGTGAACAAGAAAATGCTAACTGAATAATATGCAAGATTATCTTTGAAGCATGACCAGGAATGTGTTTTGGGGAAAGATAAGGCTATGTTAGTCAAAACTTAGCATATTGATGTAGACAAACAAGATGTATTTGCTCAAGCCCATATTAAGATCAAACTAGTTTGCTGTTTTCTGCCCCCCTGCACAAGTTGGCTTTGAAAGTTTAAGAATAATGTTCTCAAAGCTAATGTCATTAATATCTTCTGTTTATGGGGAACTTAATATTTGTCATTGTGGATGGTTGATGATGATGATGAAGAAGAAGAAATGATGTTTTCACAGTATTTTCTTCATTTGGCTCTTGCAAGATCAAATCAACTGTGTAAGAACTGCTGTTTTGGAAGCATACTTCACCAAAACATGGTCACCTTTTCTCCAATCTTCTTTCAATAATTCAGTCCAAATATTTATTCAGTCACATGAATCATCTGCAGTGAACTTGTAAAAAATTCTTCCTCATCACCTGTTCTACAATATGATGGATCTGCAATGTTCTTGGACTTCTCTACCTCTGATTTATTTACAGAAGTCCATGGTTTCTTATTTGTTCATTTTTGTTTATTATTTTTCCTATTCTTTATGGCTTTTTCAATTTGTTTTCTTGAAAGTATAATCAGTCAACGTTTGAGTATTTCATTTCTTTTTTACTGTCAGTTGGATTTTCCTAACTGCAGCTTTTGGGTAGGGGTTCCACATCCTCTGGTGGATAAAGGTGCTGTAAAAGCTAGGCCTGTTAAACTTCTCACCAGCTAAATAATCATAATTTGGGAAAAAATTCTGTGTAACTATAGAATATAGGAGCCCATGATATGCCTGCATATCACATGGGGTACAAATAAGCCTTACTAAGGCAGTCACATGATACTACATGAGGTACAAAATAAAATTTGACCCTCAACCTTGAAATATTACTTCAATATTACTTTCATTCCTACAACAGTGATGTTTTCAGCTTGAATGTTTCAGGGAAACCCTCACTTACTGCTGATTATGTCACAAGAAATTTCCTGTGCCAAGAACAGCTGCTAGTTGGGGGGTATCCCAATACACCCTAGTTTCCCTTATGTATTTTAAGTCTTTAGAAAGCACACTGTCACACATTTGATATCAAAATCTCATATATATATATATATATTTACAACACAATCACAAGCAATATTATTAAGGGAAAATGTTTTCACAATTAATTCATTATTTAATCACATTGAGAGAAGCTAAATTGTCTGCTAAGATTAATTTCTTACTTCCAAAAACAATTTTAAGGATGTAAAAACTCAGTTAAAGTCCTTTAAACACTTACTAATGCAAAGGAACTCCAAGGAAGTTCATCCAGTAGTTCTCAAAGTTTTCAAACTGATACGTATAGATAGAGATCAGGACTAACATGGAGTAGACAATGACTGTTATCCAGAAACCATACATGATCTTCCTCCACAGATTATATGAGAACTGTATACAAAAATAAATACTTGTGTAACAAGAAGAAATGAAGAACTAGTCTCAAAAAACATGTTTATGATACAATAAAACATCTACATTATGACCCACAAAAGTGAAATTTTCTTTATCGACAAATATATGTACACACATATATATATATACATACATACACTAGCAGAAATGCACAAAACATTTGCAGTCAAATTATTATGTTTATTGGAATAATACTTCTTTAAATACGAGATTTCTAGAATAATACAAAATAATTCTAACTGCAGACACCTGAATTTACATATCCACTTGCCTTAGGCCAAACATTAGTAAGCCTTTACCAACTACAGCCTATATTCAATAAAGAGATAAATTAACACTAACTTGTGTACATTTTTTGTTTTAGTTTAGTTACAGCTAAACTTTACTGTACTTAAAACTATAAATAAATAAACTTACAATGTTACTGTATGACCTAATGTCAGACCTTTTTAAAAATGTCTACTAAAGTATATTCATATCCACCTTTTGTTTACATCCATTGAAATGAAGTGTGCACATATAGATATCAAGACACAAAAACTGAGTATTAATATGATATACACACACGCATCTTTATATATATATATATATATATATATATATGATGTAATATATCAAAAATTATCTAAAGAACTGGTTTCCTGAAAACTTTATTTGGAAGATTACAAAGGAATGCTTATGAAAAATGAACAACACTCACGCACTAGTGTTTGAGGTACATAAATTACCTCTAACAAGAGTCTTACCATTTATGAGTTCTTTAAGTTTTAGACTAAAGAAAAACAAACTGAACATTTTAAAATCTACATATACACTGAGTGGTCACAAGTAAACAGACACCTAATTTTTCGTTATTTAACTGATTTATGCTGACTAATTTGTGTTCACAGAGCACTATATAAATGAAAATGGTCCGCACAGTAATTATCTTGTGCTACAACATGCCTAGAACTGCAGAAGGACTATAGAAGTGGCCAAAATTGGTGGGATGAGTCCAAAATCTGTTCAACGGATTCTCCACAGATTGGGTTATCATTGCAGAGCAGCTAGACGGAAGCCCTTATTAAGACCTGCCAACATTATCAGATGAAAGAAGTGGGCAAGTGATATGATGACCAAGCCTCTGGACTTTTGGAAGACCGTATCCTTCTAGGACGAATCAAGATTCGCTCAATTTTCGGACAGTAGAAGGATGTGGGTCTGGAGAATGCCTCACCAAGAGTTTTGGCTCAACAGATTGCAGCCAACTGTGAAGCATGGTGGTTTCAGCATGATGGTTTGGGGAGCTGTTTGGATTAGTGGGAGATCGAGCTTAGTGGAGTGTGTTGGCAACATAAATTTTGCAAAATACGTCGAAATATTGGAGGAAGGACTCTTGCCACTTTATTCCTCGGGTTTCAAGGACAAGAACACAATGTTGTTCCAGGAAGATGGAGCACCGTGTCACACTGCTAAAAACACCCAAAAGTGGCAGGAAGAAAATGGTATCCAGAAGTTGCCCTGGCAGAGCCAATCTCCTGACATGAACCCCATCGAAAACCTCTGGGCCATACTCGATCGGCATGTCAAGAAACAACCAAAAAAACCAACTTCGAAGATTGATCTACTCCA